GGAAAACAGTCGTCCTAAATTTAGACTGTGAACTTACACACAGTACCCTTTTAGGGGAAATATGATGTGATACGAAATAAGTTAATACAATTATTTTAGGACCACTTAGAAGTGTATTGAAAAGCATTTTTGTAACAGCCATGTGCCTCAGTCTACTGAATTCCTCTCTCCTTCAATAACAACAATGAGGTTTATGAAACTCTCACTGTGAAGAAAATTGGTGATTATATATAAAGATCTCTAAAACCTGATTAAAATAGTATTTGCCAGCACAGTAGTGTACTGATATTAAGAACCATGTTTGGGAACTTTCAGCAATAGAAAGAAGTAGTTGCAACATGGCAACCAGCATAATTTTTTTGTTGTTGTTTAAAATTTTCATTTAACATAAAGATATAGCTCAATTTTCCTTTGTGAAAACTGTTTAAAGAAGGAGGATCACAGGTATATCCCCAAACTGGATTTTTTTTTTCCCAGTAGCATAAAGCTTCAGTTTCTAACCCTTAGGTCTCTCAAGGTTCCAACTCTTATCCCTACCCCTTGAACCAGCACAGGTGAAGCTTGGGTCAGGTTGGATCTGTCTTCAAAGTTGGCCTGCTCTGAGTGGAGGCATGGGCCAGATGAGCTCCAAAGATCCCTTCCAACATAAATTCATTCTCTGTTTGACAGTTTAGCTTTAAAGAGGGCAATTCCCCATTAGGGGATAAGAAATTTAAAGGTACCTGGCAGGTTGTCTCAAAACACAAATGCAATTCCTCAAAGCTCTTCAGACATTGGAAATACTTCTGTACAGACAGCTTAGTGAGCAGAAGTCAGATGAGAGCTTACAAGGACTGACACAATTTACTGTACAGTTTTCATGACTTTTTAGTGTAATGATTTATACACTATGTAAACAACAACTTAGATTAGATTTGCTTAAGGGTGACATCTGCTAAATGCAAACCCTAAAATTAAGGGATGTGCTCTTCAATTGTAGCAAAAGACAATTTGTCTATTGACAGTAACAGACAGAGTAGTCATTTCCCAGTCATAAAAAAATCTGACTGAGAAACCCTGCAAAATAATCTGATTTAGATTTGCAGATTAAGTGTGCACGGTGTTTACTATGTGCATGAGTTCACAGGGCAGCCTGAAGTTATCACTGCTGTTTTATACCTCTTATTTCCTTGCATTTAAGACCAGTGCCAAACGTATATTTCTTTATAAAAACAAACCTGTGAGAAGTGAAAGTGAGGGAGGGAAGGGAAGGGGAGGGAAGGGAAGGGAAGGGAAGGGAAGGGAAGGGCAGGGAAGGGAAGCCTTGGAGTGGGTCTGTGCAGAGGAAGGGTTGGTTCTGAGCAGCGGCACCCATGTTGCTCGAAGGGAAGGGAAGGGAAGGGAAGGGAAGGGAAGGGAAGGGAAGGGAAGGGAAGGGAAGGACAGAGGAATGCCTTTCTGTTTCCCTCTGCAGTGTGGGATCATGTTTGTGTTGAGAGCAAAGGCTGAGGGCGGGGTTTGGGAGCAAGAGGATTTATTGTTTACAAGGGAGAGGGAGCCCAGCAGATCTTCTCAGTAGCTCCCAAAGGGAACATTTTTCTGGAAGCTGGAGGAAGCTTATCTGGCCCACTGGGCCAGGACCTCTGGGCAGCAGTGTGGTAGCTGTAGCCTGACAGCTCGCTCTGAAGAGTCCTCTCACGTGCCCCTTCAACAGCAACAGAGCTTTGCAACAAAATCCCCACTTCTGTTTCAAACTGAAGAGCACTATAGAGCCTTTCCTTCCTTCCACTGGAAATAAAAAAAAAAAACCCCATTCAGTAATGTAAACAGCCCTAAGTACACGTTTCAAACAACTCAGACTCACAGTTTCAGGGAGGCAAAGAAACTCCAGACAAAATACAATTTAACCTATCAGGAGGCACAGAGGAGTCAGGAGAGGACAAAGTCACCTGTTCCACTCACTGCTGGTTTTTTCCACTCTTATTACTGAGAGCTGCCTCAGCACCCAGGTTTGAGCCATCCAGCGGTACAGATATGATAACTATGATATGACAGATGAGATCATTT